TCAAGGAAATGGATTAACACAGGGCTGCAACAATGGGCCAAACACAGCAGTGATTGTGAAGACAGTACAGGACTGGGCAACGTTTTATTCTGTTATAGATAAGACCTCTGTGAGTCGGAGTGGACAGCACCTAACAATAACAACAGCAAGCACATAAAGTTGCTTTACTTTAAACTAAGATTCAACACAAACCCAAGCCATCACTAACAAGTTCCTTCCCTGTAATAGAACAGAAGACACATCTTCAAAAGCAAAGAGGTCCTAGACATTCCTCTAGGCCAGCCATAGCATGGGTCCAAAAGGCTCACTAAGTAGGATGACCAACTCATTTTGGTTTGTCAGGAACTTTCCCAGTTTTAAAACTGTAATTCTGGAATCCCAAGAACCCACTCAGTCGCAGGCAGATCCAGATGACTGATCATTCTATAACTAACAAAAATCCCAACAACAGCTTTTCTAGCCCATGTTAAGAAGTATAATGTAAAGAAGAAGAAATACCATAAAGTCGGGCATTTTTAGGAATCTTGCATTCGTGCTCACTTAGTTTTCATAACGTTCTTATGAAGTCTTATGTAAGGTTACAGATGAGTAAACTGAGCTCTGGTAGTGTAATGGTTAAGGCATTTGGCTGCTAACCAAAAGGTCAATGGTTCAACCCCACCAGCTGCTCCATGGAAGAAAGATAAGGCAGTTTGTTTCTGAAAAGATTTACAGCCTTGGAAACCCAATGGGGACCGCTTTGAGTCAGAATGGACTTAATGGCAATAAGTTTGGTTTGGATTTTGGAAACTGAGATTCAGGAGGATGAGTGACCCACCAGACTAAATAACGGTTGTTCGTGAAGGGAAAGCCCTTAGAAAGCACTTAGCATTTCACCTTGAATATGGCATATTGCAAATCTAGAGTAAATGTTTGGGTGACAATGTGTTCAAGATTAATTTACATCAGGGCGAATGGCCTGGCATATACCCTCAGAACTAATCACTGTTGTTATATTTTTAAATCATTAAGGAAAAAAAGGAGAAAAAAAAAAAAAAGAATATGCAGCAGAGATTGTATATGGTCCACAAAGCCTAAAGTATTCACTATCTAGCCCTGGTGATGCAGCAGTTAAGTGCTTGGCTACTAACCAAAAGTCGATGGTTCAAATCCATCAGCTGCACTGTGGGGGAAAAAAATGAGACAGTCTGCTTCCCTAAAGATTTACAGCCTTGGAAACCCTATGATGCAGTTCTACTCTGTCTCCTACAGGCACTGGGAATCGGAAGTGGGTTTCATTTGGGCTTTGCTTCTGTAAAGATTTACAGGCTCGGAAACTCTACGGGGTAGTCGTACTCCTATAGGGTTGTCATGACTCTGAATGGACTCAGCAACGAGTGTGGTTTGGTTTTTGGCACTTTATAAAAAAAGTTTCCCAACACCTACTTCATGCCATCATAGTAATCCTCTTTGCCGGTATATGTTTGAGGATGAACAAGTGATACAGATTTTGGCTTCAGGTAGACTGCAAAAAGTTTTCTGGGAGCTCCTAGAAAGCTGTTCCTCCCTAAAAACATAACAAAATTATTACAAGACCCATGAGAGAAATGTCTCTTTTCTTCCTGCCGGATGTCGTCATTAAATCATTGGGTTTAAGGCTACACTGTGTGACCAGGAAGAAAACGTCAAAGGAATCTCACAAGGACACCATTTGGGTGCAGGGCTGGCTAAGCTGCTGAATTAACCAGTTCTGAAATGGTGCATCTCCAGGTATCTTCGCAGAGAAGGTAACAAACCCCTATTGTTGCAACCACCTTCATTTGGTATTTGGTTACTTGTAGCAGACAGAATCCTTTTCTCTTTCCATCATCCTTCACTAAAGGACGGAACCTGAGAATCTATAGTAGACCATTTGTTCCCAGCTAGAAAATTCTTCAGAAAAATTATTTTATCCCTACCCAACCACCACCACCACCACCACCACCACCACCACCCGCCCAAAATATTCATGATTCTGTGACTCTTGCTTAGGAAAGAAAGAACTAACCAGATGCCATCAAGTTGATTCCAACTCATGGTGCCTCCATGAGTGTCAGAGTGGAACTGTGTCCATAGGGTTTTCAGTGGCTGATTTTTTGGAACTAGATCACTGGGACTTTCTTCCAAGGTGCATCTGGGTGGACTTGAACCTCCAACCTTCTGGTTAGCAGCCAACCTGGTTAACCATTTGTTACACCCAAACACAAGAAAGAAGGAGTCTTAGAAATTCTGCTTATTAAGTGCTTGAGCAGTGCCACTGTCGTAGGTTAGTAACTTCCATTTGTAAAATGCAAAGAACGATGTCTGTGAACAAAACGTTTTGGGGTCCCTTAAAAAATTCTTACACATAAAATATTATCTTTTCAAATGAATATTTTTCAAATTAATTTGGACATAGTCTTCCTAAGAGCTCCTTGAACTTATCTTCAGAGTTGCCCTATGTCCCCCTAGAATAAACACAAATCCCCTTGACCTTGGTCAGTTGGATTCTCTTTACAAAATACCATCAAATATATATGTGCCCAGGGTGATGTTAGGAGGTTATTCCCAGTGGACAAGGTCAGAACATCTGTCTGGATCATTTACTCTGGTAAGATTGACTTCTGTGGGAATGACTTAATCACTGGAGTCTGGAAGCCTTCGCAGAACTCAAAGACTGTCACTGTGCTCACAGATGGAACAAACGCTTCCGGCTAGAAATAGAGACATCAGCCAAGTCACAATCCCTTCCTGATATTCCTTTTACTGGCTCTACCAAACCACAACAAAGACACTTCTGCTCTTCAGTCATTAGGAATACATTTGTCTGAACACAGCCCTTAAAATCTGAAGCATCCTGTTTTCACTATTATTACCTGAGGGCCATAAACAGTTACCTAGACAGGTGAATGTCCCTCTTTACTTCAGCATCTAAAGCAAATATTAAGGAGTTTTTCTTTTCTCTTTTCTTTAAATTCAAGGCTGTGGTTTTCAACCCTGACTGCACACTGGAAGCATCCAGGGCATTTAAAATATATTATGATGTCTCAGTCTACCCCAGAGGTCTGATTTAACTGTTCCAAAGTTCATCTGGGCATTGGGAGTGCTGAACGTCCCCAGGTGATTCTAATATACAGTCATGGTTGAGACCCAGTGACCTGAGGTCAAGGACAAATAGAGGAAAATGTAATTAAGAGCTATACACAAGAGAAGAAGAACTAAATTGCATTTACCAGTGACCAAAAGAGAGACAGAAAAGGCTCTTTCCACTATATAACATTTCTCCAAAAAATAACCGGAAATAAATTACTATTCAATCAATGAGCAACACAAAGATATATCCTTTCCCAATTATTTCATTAAAGAAGGGAGAGAGATGGTCAGGAGAAAATGACCTGCCAAAAAAAGGGGAAAAGAAATCTATGTGTTTGAGCCCCTTTGTCATGAGTCCCACAGTTATACTCATGCTTCCACATGCCATGCCCTCCTCAAACAGCACACCAAACCTTACTTCTCAGCGCACTTAGCTCCCAAAGACCCTAATCTAAGGGTCAGCAAACAATGGCCTATAGGCCAAATCTGGCCCATCACCTGTTTTTGTAAATAAAGTTTTATTGGAATGCAACATGCTTATCCATTTACTATTTACTGCCTGCTTTCACACAACAACAGCAAAGTTGTTGCAACAGAGACTATATGGTCTACAAAACCTAAACAATTTACTATCTGAGCCTTTAGAGAAAAAATTTACAGACCACTGCCTTCATCTATAATACAGGCTTCTGGTGCCAGGAATTCACCCTGTTGTCCCAGGAAGGGCTGCCCACTAGTGCCCATCTAGACATCTGCACTTCTGCTCTGCCAAACACCTCTGAGCGTCTCATTAGTGCCATCAAAGGGGAGTGAGAGCATCTCCCACAGTCACTTTGCTCCAGAAGCTGCTTGTTGTTGGCTCCTGGTCTCCAACCCCACCCAACATCTCAGAGATCCTGGCCGAGGCTGTCACTTTGTACAATAACCACCTTTCAGCAAATGAAACAGCACCAAGGCTCTCCCCAACTTGTGGTAATTGCACACTCTAACGTTCAGAAGCAAATGAAGATATTCACACAGGGCTTCACAGCACCTAAACTCTAACCTCCCTCACCAACTTGTGGTTTTGCTTAATTAAATTTAATTTTCTTCATTCACTTTACTCAAACCTCTTTCATTTTAAAACTCTTCCTTTATTTTTTCTGTTTCTTTGTAAAAGTTTTGCTATGCTAGCATGAAATGGAGGTTATCTGCTTGCTTTATCCTACATCCACCTCTGTGTTTTTAAATACAGAATTTACTATGATCTAATTTACTGTAATCTTTTGGGAGGAAGAAAATAAGGAAAGACATGGGAAACTATAGCTACCTAAAATTTAAATTTTCATCAGAGAGAGGCAGGGCTTTGGAAACAGTGTGATATGCACTTGCTTGCAAGATAAAATTTCTTCTCTTCTCTGTCCATCAGCAAAGTGCTGTCTCCACTTCATTTAATTCAGTTCTCCACTGAATTGTGGATTCAATGTCCAGACATCAGTGCAGAAACAGGAAAGAAGGCATTTTGTATTTCCTTTTCCTTATTCCTAATACCATTAGGGGGAGCTCTGGGGGCATAGTGCCTAAGGCATTTGACTGCTAACCAGAAGGCTGGCGGTTCAAACCCACCAGCCACTCCTCGGAAGGAAGATAGGGCAATCTATTCCAAAGAGATACTTCCTCAGGAACCCAAGGAAGGGTCGCTATGAGTCAGGATCGACTCAACAGCAGCGAGTTTTAATACCATCAGGTAGGAGCCCTGGTGGCAGAATGGTTAAATGTTCAGCTACTAATTGAAAGGTTGGCGGTTTGAACCCACCCAGCAGCTCCATGGGAGAAAGAATTGGTGAACCCCTTCTGTAAAGATTTACAGTTTAGAAAACCCTGTGGGAAGTTCTACTCTGCCACTCTGCTATGAGTCAAAATCAACTCACCAGTACCCAGCAATGTCATTAGGGTAGAGTTCCCCAGCCTCAGCACTAGCGACATCACGGGTGGGTCATTCTTTGCTGTAGGTTGTCCTGTGCTTTGTAGGGTGTTTAGCAGCATCTGTGGTCTCTACCAACATGCCAGCTGTGTTTCTCCCACTCCTGAAGTTGTGACGACTGTCTCCGGACATTGCCAAATGCACTGTGGGGTCAGTCCCCTCGTCCTGGTTGAGAACCTTGGCATTAGAGGAATTAGTCCCATAGACTCGACCTTCCCCTCTCACTGGCCCATCTCCTACCTTCATCACTACTGCTACTACTTGTGTTCAGGCTTTCATCATCTATAAGCATTCTGGACTATTACAAGGAGCCCTGGCAGCACAGTGGGAGCTCTGGTGGTACAGCAGTTAAAGCATTCAGCTGCTAATCAAAAGGCTGGTGGTTCGAACCCACCAATTGCTCTGCAGGAGAAAGAAGAAGCAGTCTGCTTTCGTAAAGATTTGCATATGGGGCTGATCTACTCTGTCATATAGGGTCACTATGAGTCAGAATTGACTTGATGGCAGTGGTTTTGGTTTGCTTTCTTGTTTGTTTGTTTGGTGGCACAGTGGTTAAGTGCTAGGCTGCAAACCAAAAGGCTGGCACTTCAAAATCGCCAGCACTCCATGGGAGAAAGCTATAGGAATCTGCTTCTGTACAGATTATCCCTGGAAACCCTGGGTGGCAATTATACTCTGTCCCGTAGGCTCATAGTAAGTCAGAATTCAACTTGATGGCACTGAGGTTTGGGGACTATTAGAATACTCTCCCAACCAGTCTCCCTGCCATGCACCTGTCACGGATCTCATCTGTCTTCCAGACTGCTGCCCGAGTCTAGTGGCTGTGAGGGTGCACCGCCGGAATCACTTTCAGACCTCAGACCCTCACTCCCGTAGCTGCCAAGGCTTCTCCGGAAACTGCCCTCCCTGAGAAGAGCCACGTCAGCACAGTGTGTACCCACCACAGGGTGGCCTGAATCCAGTGACTGGTCAGTGCAGGGGTCTAAGGGATTGACCCTGTGCCTCAGGCTGGGACCATTCTGCAGGATCATCCCAGCCCCAAATCTTCCCTGGGATTGGCCAAGCCTTTGTTACAGCTGCTTTAACATATAATTCCTTCCTCCCTCTGCCCATTTCTGTTTCGTTCAGGCCCCCTCAGATGTTGATCCCAAGAACACTCTCTAATAAACCCAGTCCACGCAAATCTCCCTCTCCAAGTCTGTTTTCTGAGGGACAGGACCAAAGACACAGAGTAATCTTCATAAATTCCAAGTCTCATCAAGTGGCTGCCTTACCAGGCATGGCCTACACCGTGGGGCCTGAAGAATAACTGTCAGAGTGGCAAACAAGGCGTTTGTGATCAGTGGTGTGCTGGTAAAGCAGCTCGTTGGAGAAAAAAAAAAAGAAGCTCTGATATGTAGCTTCTGCTGATTTCCCTGGTGTAAATATTTCACTGTTGTCAATTCAAGCTACCAATGGCTTAACAACCATCTTGCAAAAGTGTTGCCATTGGCTACCAGTGAGTCGGCCCCTCTGCACAACAGAACAAAACGCTGCCTGGTCCTGCACCAAATCCTGACTCATTGCAGAACCACACGTTCTACCATGATCCATCATGTATTCATGGGCTGATTTTCAGAAGTAGATCTCCAGGACTTATTTCCTGCATCTTATTCTGGAAACTCCACTGTAACCTGTTCAACATCAGAGCAACAAGCAAGCCTCCCCCAGTAGATGGGATGTGGCTGCCCATGAGGGACGTTGTCTGAGAATCAAACCTGTCTTCCAGATGGAAAGCGAGAATTGTCCCACTGAACCACCAATGCTTCCAAGTCCGGGCTATTTAACAAGTAGCTCACGAACTAGGCACAAGCCAGCCCCCAGCACGCTCCAACAGCCTCTGACCACTTGCTACACTTAACTCTTGTTCCTCTTGTTCATTTGTACTTCGGTTCCACCCTGATGAAGCCTGGCAATTCTCAGCCCACCGGGCTCCTCTGGGCCTCTATGCCCTTCTTCAAGCTGTCTTCCTGGCCTGGAATAGGCTTCCTTTTTCTGTTTAACTCATGCAAACCTACCCAACGTTCTTGATTCTGCTCAAATAAAAATCTCTAAATATTTTCCACATTGACACCCCCACTCATCCCATTTCACTCACAGGTTAAATAGGAAGTTCTTTCCTTTGGGTCCACATGCACCATAAATACTGTCCTACTGTAGTGTTTGTACTATATTTCATTATATTTATGTAATACAATCTAATTATTATACTTGATGTAGTTACAAAACTATAATGTCTAGACCATAAATAGTCAGAGGGTAAGGTCTTACTCCTGTTTTAAGCTGAGGCCTGACACAGAGTGAGCTCACAATATATGTTGTTGAATAAACTAAACAACTCGTCCCACTTCCCAGCTCAACTTCATCATGAGATGCTCTTGTTGTTAGGTGCCATCAAGTTGATTTCACAGCAACCGCATGTGACAGAGTAGAAATGACAGGTTTTCTTGGCTGTAATCTTTATGGAAGAAGATTGCCAGGTCTTTCTGCTGCAGTGTGATTGAGTGGGGTTCAAATGGCCAACCTTTTGCTCAGCTAAGCGCTTAACTTTTTGTGCCACCAGGACTCCTTTCATCATGAAAGACAGGTCTTAAAATAAAAGGCTCTCAAGAAGAAAATACTCTATTTCTCAAACATGGATAATGGGTTAACCCTGGCACCCCTCATGTTGCCGAGAGGAGGAGCATGTGTGGAGGCTAGATAGGAGCATGACCTTGAACACCAGGGCCCAGGCCCAAGAGTCTCTGAGTCAAGCAGAAAAGCACATACAAAAATAAAAGCAACATTTGCAGGCCTGGGGAGGTGGCACAGCTGGAAGGGTTGGTTACCTACTAGCTGGGCAACTTGGAGACCAACTTTTTCAAGTGCCACTGCCACAGACTCAGAGTCAAACCAGGTGCTCAGGGTGCCTCAGCTTTCCATCAAGCTGCAAATGCTCACACAGTGCCTGCTCCCTGCAGAATAATGGATCTTTAAACCAGCAACTCAGGGGAGACTCAGAAATAACTATCAGCCTTGCTTTTAACTCAAAAACAAAAAGGCACCCCCCACACACACACCTACCAAAGGTGGGGGGACCTCTCAAAACCAAATAATAACGTTAAACTCTTATACACCACTTGCTTGCTGGATACCAGCTCTGTTCCAAATGCCTGACATACATTAACTTATATATTGTTCCTATCAGCCCACCAAGCTACGTACACTTATTAGCTCCTTTTTACAGATTCAGAAAAGATGTTAATTAATGTTTCCAAAGCCACACAGTTAATACATGGAAGAATTAGGGTCTGAACACAAGCAGTGTAACTCCACATTCCATGCTCTTCATCATGCTAATAGGAGAAAAAGAGGTTCCTTGATAACTTTCCACCACTATCATCAAGGTCTTAGTGATGTCTCTTTCAAAGACTGTAACCTGGCAGAGCTGGCCTTGTCCTTAACCTTGGTACACCCAGCTGTGGCCAACCAGCACTACGACATATCAAGGGAACCTTTCTTTTAGCAACTTTAGCATATGGAAAAGCCATGAATCCCAAGGACAGAAGAAAAGAGAGGGAGGAGAAGTGTGGAACAGTGAATTACTTGCTATGGCTTTTCTAGCCATGGGCTTTGTGACCAGATGACTTGGTGGAACTGTGCAAATATGTTTGTGGCCCACCAAGAGGGTTGGAGAGCTTGTGAGTAATGTAAATAAGGTACATGGCACCCTTGTGGGGGTGGGACCATGCAAATAAGGTATATGGAACTCTAATGTGGGGATTGGTTAGTTTTGTCATTCTGCTAGGCTTAAAATGAGCCCTCCTAGAGGCAGAAGGGGGGATCTCACTGCCATCAAGAGAGAGGAGCCAGAGGTGGAGTAGAGAGTGTCCTTGAACTGAGGTCCCTGTGCTAGACCTCCTTGGCAGAGACAACCACCTGAGACAACCAGCTGAGGAACCAAGAAGCACAAGATAGAGTAATGGGCTTGCCCGCCCACAGAGCAAGAAAGCTGAGTGCCTTTGGGCAGGCAGGAGGTTTGCTGGCAGAGTGGGGTGCACGTAGGTGTCCCTATTGGCAGAGTTAGAAGAGCTTTGTTACTCTTGCCCAAGCAGGGCAGAGGCCAGGCTGAGAGGTCAAGGGCCAGGGAGGAGTGTCTGAGGGCATAGCAGCACGGAGATTGTCCTGATCAAAGAATTGTATCCTGAGTGTGTTCCCCAACCTGGATTGTAACCTATTACTTCCCTAATAGGAGCTCTGGTAGTGTAGTGCCTAAGGCACTTGACTGTTAACCAGAAGGCTGGTGGTTCAAACCTACCAGCCACTCCTCAAAGGAAAGTTGGGCAATCTACTTCTGTAGTGATACTGCCTCAGAAACCCAAGGAGGGGTCGCTATAAGTCGGATCCAATTTGATGGCATACTGCAACAACAACAACAACTTCCCTAATAAACCCCATAATTGTGAGTATTATCTGGGAGTTCTGTGTGGCCCTTGCAAAGAACTGTCAACCCCAGCAGAGAAGTAGAGTGCCATGGGACGGATGGCTGGTGTCAGAGTTGGTACAAAGGCTGGAGGGTGGCAGCATGCCTGGCCTCACAGGAATAGGCCTTGGGCCATTGATAGTGGCTTTGTTTTCCTCTTACAAGCAGAAGGTCAGAAGATGTCACCTCTGGTCCTTTTTTTGCAAGAAGGAAAGGAAAGCCCTCTTAGTTCCAGAGAGGTAAACAAACCATCCAAGCAATGCTGGCAAGAGCCACAATGAGCAGAAGCACCCAGAGGGCATCCTGCCCTGCAGTCGGTCAGTTCACTGACCAGAAGGAAGGAGCCTCCTCATTACCTGGAGATGGTGAATAAAAAAGTAAACTAGGGTCTGGGGTGGACATGTGTCCTGGACCCACTGGACTGGGTGAGACTGGAGGACTCCCCAAGACTATCGGCCAGAAATACTCTTCAAGCCTTGAACCAAAACTTACCCCTGAGGG